GTAATTTTATTCCTTCGCATAATATATTAATATTGTTCTGTTGTAATATATATTTTAATCGTCGTCGTTGTTGAGGTACGCAAAAAGGAAGAAAGAAAGAAAGATAGAAAAAAAAAGAAGAAAAAAAGAAAGAAAGATATTTTTAAATGTTTTTATCCGTCGTTAAAGTTTTATACAAAGATAGTTGCAGAGCATTTGGATAAAAGAAAGGGACAAAAGAGTGTACAACGATCGTAACAAACGCGTACACGAGTCGAGCCCGTAATATCTCTACTTACATCGAATTCCTTTTTTTTTATTTTTTTTTTAATTTTTTTTTTAATTTTTTTTTTTTTTTTTTTTTTTTTTTCTTAAATGGTATCTCAAGGCTCGTGATCAGGGTAAAACTGATACCTAAAATAACATTGTTGAAATTTTTTAGCAATCGATCTTGAAGCTTGCTACGAAAAATCTAATCGTACTACATTCGCTCACGTTCGTTGCCTTTTAAATGTTGTTAAACTTTTTAGACTTAAGGTTAAGTAAAAAAAAAAAAAAAAAAAAAGAAGAGAGAAAAAAAAGAAAAAAAAAAAGTGGAAATTCATGTTGCCAATCAGTAAAAGTTATTATTAGTAGGAAGTTTGGTGTTCGAGGTGGTGTTCTTATATAAGGATTAAGGTTGTAATACGATACGATACGAGATCCTTGTATTCGTACAAAATTTAGTGTTCAAATTGTAAAAAGTGTTCATAGCGGGGGGGAAAAAGAAGAAGAAGAAGAAGAAAAAAAAGTAAAAGATAATAATAATAAAATAATAAAATAAAACAAAACGAAACACGTTCAAGTGTTTATCGAGGAATTGCTTGTAAGAGAGTACCTTGTACTTGTGCTACGCGCATACGTGTTTATCGAAAAAAGAAAAAGTAAAAAAGTGAAAGTTAAAATTAAAAATTTCTCTTGGCTAAGAAGAAAAATAGAGAAAGAGAAGAGAGAGAGAGAAAGAGAAAGAGAGAGAAAAAAAAATATATATATATATGTATACACAATCAGGTCGAAAATAGAAATTAAATTCACAAATTATATCTGCAACTGTCTTCTAACCCGTTTTTTAAAATGAATTTTTACACGAAGCACAAGCGAATTTCTCACGCTAATCGCGGTTAGGATCGAGGAGGTCTCGTTGAAATGAGTTTTCACGTTGAATATATTTTTAATTAATTTATAAGTCTACGGACATTGCGGGTGGGTTGTGGGGGAAAGAAATATGGGAAACAAGAAAAATTTTACATAGATTATATATATATATTATATTATATTATATTATATTATATTTATGTATGGCCCTTGCAATGGCGGACAGACGATATACTTTCCTTGTCTCTTTCGTTTGCCCCTTGTTTCGACGGCGAGGGGGGGGGGGGGGAGGAGCCACCAGTCAATATCATACCGATTATTCTAAGTTTTTCTTTTTCTTTCTTTTTTTTTCTTTTCTTTC